ATCTCATCTCATCTCATCTCATCTCATCTCATCTCAGCTTATCTTATCTTATCTTATCTTAAATCTCTTCACTTTCATCAACATTTCTCTTTTAAATCTACTTAAGCATATTTGTTTTTATTGTCTTTTGCTACATTTAGCTAGTGTTGAGCCTATTTTTTTAGCTTTTGGCTAGTGCTCTGCTTGTTGTAGCTTTTACAACAGTTATAGCTTCTTCAACACTTAGCGATCTCGCTGTATTTTTACAGAATTTGGCTAGTGCTCTGCTTGTTGTAGCTTTTACAACAGTTATAGCTTCTTCAACACTTAGCGATCTCGCTGTATTTTTACAGAAATTGCAATTTTTCTAACAGATTTTTGGACTCAACCAGATTAAAGATAGCTGCCACCGCCAAGTGACCTTTAAATGTGCTAAAGAAAAATCTGTACATTTATAACATTTAACAGACGTTTTACTATTAGCATTTTGTAACTTTTCATTTACCAAGCCYAGATGCTTTTTGCTTAGGATTAACCTTTTGTTACTTTTGGGCAGTTATTTGTTTATTTATTTATTTGCAACTTGCTTGTTAGCTCTATTTATGCTGATGTGCTTTTAGCTTTATTTTGTCCTTTTGTTGTTTTTAAGGTAAGGTAAGATAAGATAAGATAAGATAAGATAAGATAAGATAAGATAAGATAAGATAAAACTTTATTGATCCACAGTAGGGAAGTTTTCACATTAAATTTTTTTCACATTTTTGCTTATGGCTCATAATTTGTTAGCTTTGTTTGCTTTAATTGTGTTTTTCTGCTTTCAGCTATTATCATATAATTAGTACTTTTTTAGTTTTATTCATGTTTTTCTGCTTTTAGCTGGCCTTTCACTGCTCTCAGCCTTGTTTCTTCAATTGTTTTCAGTCACTTGAGCGCTCAGCTTTGACGCTGAATTTTCACTGAAAATTGAATTTCTGTGGTTAAACTTGTGTCATTTCACTCTCTCTGAGCTGATTGTTGTATTTCTTCGGTAAAACTCATTACAGCAGATATTTAGATGCACCTTGGTCTGACATGTTGGGTGAACATGTACCTCTCATCTGGAGAATTAAAAAAAAACGTGTTTGTACAGCTGAATCCATCTGAGCAGATTGTGAATAGAAACATTTGTGTAATTGTATTTTTAATCTTTGTGTACAGTAATGAAAAAATAATTTCATACAGAGAAGTAACTGTGAAATGCATTTTTTCCGCCTCTATGGAATAAGAAGATCAAAGGATCATTAATGTTTATCCTCAACATAAAACACTTGTTCCAGTAGCTGGGGATCTGAATCGCCACAAAAACAGACTCCCAGGAGAGATCCAAGGGATTACAGGATTATTTATTGGAGCAGAAAACACACACACACACACACACACACACACAAACAATACAGATGCAACAATATGAGTCAATGACCTCTTTGTACATCGGTCAGATCTTTTTCTACCACCTCTTTATTGCTGTTATTTAATGTATAAAAAGTAGTTCTCCCAATAACAGCTGCTGTTTTACTCACATCTTTCTAGAACTGTCATCACTAAATGCTGATTGTGTGGGATAGTTTCACATCTTATTCTGCTCACTTTCATGCTTCATAGCAGGGGTGGGCAGCRTTTTGTTTTTTCCCACACAATGCTATTTTAAAATATTTATAAAGGCAGAAGGGCCTAGAATGTTGCGKCAATCACACAGAGTCATCATCTGCAAAAATACACAATGAGCTGTTTGTTTCTGACCTGAAACTAATTAATATCTGTTTAGTGGTTTGTGGGATTTTCTGCAAACAGACTGACAAACATTACATGATCGCTCATCCTTCATGATGGTGGGTGCTGACACGGTCCACACGCCCTAATTTTTGTCTGTTTCAATTTGAAGGTAGAGTTTAAAGTAGTCTTTTTGATCCATCAAAATACTCTGTAAATAAAATAAAGAAAAAAAACCCTACATGTACGGCTGCCAGAAGTTTCACGATTTCAGAATGCTTTTGACACGTTTTCACACAGACACTGTTTGAGGCTTACTTTTTGCTCTGAATTTCTGTCTGCTTGTCCAGAGAGCTGTGCAGTGTGCTACCGCTCCTCTCTTTGCTCCCCCATTAAAATGATGAGATCATCATAAAAACAGGTGACTCAGCAGATTCTGAAGCCCCGGACCATTCAGCAGGTTCTTCAGCCTTTTTATTATTTCAACATGACGGCCCCCATAAATCGTCTTTATCTTGAACAATATTGTCCCAATTCGGAACTTTTGAAGGGTGAACTGAACAAGGTTTTAATTTTGTTTTTCAATTCAGTTCAGTTCAATTCAATTCAATTCAATTCAATTCAATTCAGTTTATTTATATAGCGCAAAGTCACAACATACGTTGTCTCAGAGCACTGTACATAAAAAAAGAACAATCTAAAGAAGAAGCCAGCAGGCTGCGTTGAATCACTTCATCACAGTCTCTGAGCAAATGGTGGAGAGGAAACTCCAGCAGAACCAGGCTCAGGGCAGGCAGCCATCTGCCTCGACTGGCTGGGTTGGGGGACAGGAAAGAGACACAGGTAAACACAGAAGAACTGGTCCGGGACTGGTCCAGGTGCACCTTCTTCTGGAATAGACAAAGAAAAAACATGTTATTGATAGAAATAATTACAATA